TTGTCTTACATACATATAATAATTAGTGTGGTGGATATAATATCTTAATAATTTGTGTCTTTGTGTAGTTCCCATAAGTGTTTTTTATTCTGGAAAAAACATTAATCTAGGTAGCCAAAAAATTTCGATAAAAATATAGGACAATCCATTTGTTACACATTACTGAGAATTCTGAATGTCTGAGCCACATATGCTATATAAAAATATTATTATATTTATCCCTTATTCATATTTTTACTGTTTTTCTTTTTTCCTTTTTTTGTTTATTCATTTATTTATTTATTTATCTATATTTTTTAGATTTTTTTAACCTCTCTTTTTTTCTTTCAGTTAAATTTATATAACCAAATTTTATTACAAGAGACTATTAATTTATTTATTCATCTATGAAGGAGGAAACCGAAGACACACAGATGGAGACATGAATCATATTGTTTGTATTGTTTGTCCATGAAGTTAATATATGTATTGTCTTTATCTTATTAATGTGTTTTGTGCATAGTTATACATAACGTTGTAAATTTTAGATTTTTACCGTTGCAAATGTATGATGACTGTGGACATTTTGATATTATTTTATTCCCAGTAAATTATAATTGCAGATATATAATTTGATAAATTTGTTATTACAAAATTATTTGCCTAACTATTTACTATGAATTTTAATATATTGTAGTTAACTAGATATAGGTGATTTAGACAAACATAATTTTTTACTTCTTACCGTTGAAATAATTGCATATTCTAATTACATTATGGATGAGAAAAAAAGAAACAGAAAAACAAAAGCTCAAATACATTGTAAAAAAACTTCTTACTACAATATTATATAGATGTATGTATATATAAACTAATTCCTTACTATAAAAACTTCTAACTTTTTATATATTTTAACAATATTTTCTGCTGCAATGCGGGTGAATGACGTTATAAATATATTAAAGGAAATCCAGATTATCACTGTTCACATACACACTTTACTATTCATTGTATAGTGCACTTTTTTTTTTTCGGGTTTGCCCTTGCTCTTTCTTCTCTTCTCTTTGTTTTGTGCAACGGTGTTAGTGTCTTTTTCGTGCCAGGCATGGTGATTGTTTGTTTTTGCCCCTGCTTCCTGATGACTTTATTTCCTTAGGCTTAACTTTTTGGTCGTTTGGCCTCTGATGAAGCCCTCCACCTCATCTCTCTCTTTGATGGGTTTTGGTCTAGCCGCCGCTTTTATTTTTTCCTGTGAAAAGTTCGGCCTCCATTTTTTGCTTCTTTGTTCCTCTCATTTCTTGCTTCATCTTCATTATATGGATGTTTCTTGCCTTTGCTCATTTTCCGCTGTGTTGATTTGGGATTTTGTTTCGGATTTCTGTGGGGTTTTCGCGGAGTATATATTGTGTTATATGTTTTTTTTTTGTTTTACTTTCTTCTATAACTGTCGGCACTCTTTTTTTTTTCCTTCATTGTCTTCTGTTGCGCTTTTGTTGTTTTGATTTAGGATTCTGTATGGCCTCCTTTGTTCTTGCCGGTGTAAACATTTAGGGTTCTATGGGTCTTTTTTTTTTTAAAAAAAAAAGAGGGATTCATCGGCATTTCTTTAATTCCTTAAAATTTATGGCTATTTCTTATGTTGAGTTTTTTCCCCTTTTACTGATGATAATCCACTTTTGTTCGAGTGTTGTCTTTCGTCTAGCAGCTTATTCGTTTGGCTAGAAAGGGATTTACATGTGCATGATTGGATCTTCCCTATGGCTGATTTTCATAGGTAAATCTCGCATTTTTTTCTTCCTTCTATGCATTTTTATATTTGTTGACCTTGTTCTTGGATTCTACCTAAATCAGTTTCCTTTGCATTTAATTACTTGCTGATCTGTAGTGATGATCTCTAATACCTTTGCTGTTGATTTGTACTTCTACGTTGATGGTGTGTCCCGTTTTTGTTCCAGAAGCATTAAATGAATTGGAGATTTTTTTTCCTTTTATTGTTAGAAGTTTCTAGAAAATGTCAAAAATAAAAAAAAATCCCTGTATTTTTTTGTTCTTTTTTAAACTTATTTTACTCTCTATACTGATTATTGCTTGGGATTTTTTTACCGACTTTGTCCCTGGATTTTGCCTAAATAAGTTTCATTTGCATTTAATTACTTGCTAATATGTAGTGATGATCTGTTATACCTATGCCGTTGATTCGTACTTCTACGTTGATGGTTTGTCCCGTTTTTGTTCCAGAAGTATTAAATGAATTGGAGATTCTTTTTCCTTTTATTGTCTGGAGTTTCTAGAAAATTTGTCAAAAAATAAAAAAAAAAATCCCTATATTTTTTTGCTCTTTTTTAAACTTTTTTTTTTTTTACTCTATATACTGATTATTGCTTGAGATTTTTTTACCCCATTTCTTTCCAGCTTTTAGTCCTACACTTCTTTTATCATTTGTTTTAATTGAAAATTTTTTTTGCACTCTTTTTCCACCGACTTCCAACTGTTACATGTGCTATTATCATTGGTTATCTTCCTCTTTATATATATAGAAGATCCTGTTGTTATATCTTAGTTCGTTGAATAAATTGTGTCCTCGGTTTTGTTTTACATCTGACATCTTCCCTCATCCACTCCATCATTGATAATTTATTATTGTGCTTTACCTTGCCCTCTTAATTGGTCCATTATTTTACCTTTGTCTCTTTTACTCCTGTTTAGTTAGCTGACATTTCCTATTTAAAGCAGGTGTTGCAATATTTTAGGTAATATTAATGACTTTTGTCTATATATTTTTAATGTCTGTTGTTGATGATGAAGATATTAATTTGTCATATTGTTATTGGTTTGTATTGCATCTTATATTGCTGACAACAGTTCATTTCTTTTCATTGTCAATGGATTTTTGTCATGTATAATTGTCTTTCTTCATGTTGTTTATCTATTTTATAGCAGCATATATATATATCTCTTTTTACTTAACACAGTTAATCCTTACTTGGTTTCAATCTATGCTAATGATTGCTGCAGTCCATTTTTATCAATTTGTTGCCATGTAATTTATTCAGAAATTGCCCCAAATGTATTTCTACTTATGTAGATTCTGATTTTGTTTGTAGTTTTTTGTTTTACAAGTATCTGAATATCTTTTTTTTCCTTTTTTTTTTACTTGCTCTAACATTTTTGCATTTTTAGTTGCCTGGTTCCATCTTCGTCCATGAATATCTTTTTTTTCCTTTTTTTTTAACTTGCTCTAACATTTTTGCATTTTTAGTTGCCTGGTTCCATCTTCGTCCACTTACTGCTCAGTCTTTTAAACTGTCTCTTTCACTTATGTTTGGTTCGCCCATATTCCCTGTTTAAGGTAATTTTCATAGCGTTGCAGGTATTGTTGAAAACTTTTGCCCATATGCTCTCAATATTTATTATTGATATTGAATGTATTGGTTACTTTTGCTGCTACTACTTCCTATTGTCTATTATAGTGCTTAAAAAAATCTCTTTTTGTTGCCGTGACTATCAGTCTTTATGTTTTATTACTGTATAGTGATGGCATATTGATTTCTTAGTCATTTTTTCTCTAGTCACAAATATATGTGTACCTATTTTTTTTTAGCATATTTTATCTTTTCTTCCCTTTGGTGCGTGGCAATGATGATTACATTTGGTTTTGGGCTCTCAATTCTATCTAATCTGTCCAAAAATTGCTATGAATAAACCTCCTTATTTGGATCTTGATTTTGCCTATCCTTTTGGACTAAAACACTTTAAATATCTTATCTTCTTTTCTTTGGCATGTGGCAGTGATGATCATAATTAGTTTTGGACTTTTGAATTTGAATTAATCTATCCAAATTTTGCTATGAATAAACTCTTCCTATTTGAATTTTGATTTTTCGTATACTTTTGACTAAAACAATTTAAACGCCTTCCTTTTGTTCTTTTGCTCTTCTTTAGTTTAAGGCTATGACATTTGAGATGTCTATTTCAGTTGAATTCACATTTTCTATCTTTTTCTTTACTGGGTTTTTTCAATCTATTTCTTTCATGAACTTTGATTTTCAACACACAAACAACATCATTGTTGCTCTTTCATTTCTTAATTTTTTGCTTTTAATATTTCTGTTTTAAGTATTTGATTCAAAATCTATTCCTCCATATAATGTCTTCTTATCCTATCTCTTTGCTCTTTTAAGTCCTCTATTTGGAATTGATCATTTTCCTTTTTCTCTCCCCTTTGCCTGTACCATTTATTTCCCTGTTTTCTTTTGCTTTGCTTTACAAATGCTTATGGGTTTTCTCCTTGGCCTACGATTTCCCTATATGTTTTTGTTCTATATGCTTTCATTTTTCCCATTGTTTTGATAAGCCCTTACTCAGGCAAGTGTACATTAGGAGGAATAAAGGCTTATGAAGGGGCGAGGTCTGGTTGGGATGAAGTTGTTTTCAGCTTACAGTGGGAACTTGTAGTATTAGTAGTTTACTTAGAAAGCCGGTGAGAGGGGAATGTGTGAGGAAAGTATAAAAGGGGAGGGGTGAGGAATAGAAAGGGGTTATCGAGAATAATCAGGGCATTGTACAAATCTTGGAAATGTTCCAAGAAAGGGGAGGTAGCAGACCCTCGAAGATCTGCGGGCTTGTGTACATGTCCTGTTGCTAATAAAATTCTTCAATTGATTCTTTCTTTTCTTTCTCGATTCTTTCCATTTGTCCCTATCTAGATTTTGTCTCTAAGTTCGGTTCAGCTCTTATCATTTGGTATCAGAGCAAATTTTTTTCTCTGGGGGATAATGGCGGCCAGGAAAACTGAGGAGAAGTTCGAGGCGATGGAGAAGGAGATCCAACAGTTAGGGCTTCTGTGGAAAAAGAAATTGGTGAGGTAAGGGCTGAAATCAACCATAATGTGGCTGAAGTGAACCAGAATGTGTTGGATCTGAGCCGACTAGTGGAGGAGCATATGCGTCTGTTAACCGCGGCGGCGACAGCGATTCCGCCGGCGGAGGGTTCATGATCAGGAGCTGCGAGGGTTCGGGAAGAGGAAGTTGGGTTGGCCCAAGGTGCAAACTGCGAAATCACGGGTCGAACGGAGGAAGACGGAGAAATCGCGCGTGTTAGGGCTCGGTCGCGAACCAAATCCATCCCGATTTCAACCGTGACGGCCGAAATGGCCGACCCAGGGATGGCGAGACCGGCGACGGAGAACGAAGTCTCCGTGAAGGGCGGCACAGCGATTACCGAGTCAGAGGAATTTTCGAGGATGCTCAGGACTAGCACGAAGGCCAAAATGGTGAAGGGGGAGGAGGAAACCGCACGGGAAATGGAGGACCTAGGCTGAGGATGGATGGCCGATATGAGGGAGGCCGATTCAAAAATGGTGGCAAAGACAGTAGGTGCCGTTGGGAAGAAAACGAGGCTGGGGACTCCATGGATTTCCTGGGTAACTATGAGG